TTTATCCCTTTTTTTTCCATTTTTCATTTAAAGATAAAACTTTAAAAAAAAAACATCATTATCTGTTTTTTTCAGTTTGGTTTTGGAGACAAATAATGAAGAAAACTGTTGTTTTTTCATTTTCTTATTTTTGGTTTTATATTGAAAAACGAAATGAATGAATGACACATGGATTTGAAAGTTCAGGTTTGATCCAGAGCCGGGTTCTGGCCGAGTCTCTAGAAGTCACTGTTTTTTGTATTTCTTGTATTTCTTCTTACCTCCTCGTTCTGTTGTTTGTGTTGACAGTTGGATTGGACGCTGCAGGGTCAGAGGAGGTCGCTGGACTTCCACAGAGCGAGATCTCTCACTTCTACACTTCTGACCGGACCTAAAGACTCTTCCAAACACGACGCTAAATGTATTTCCAAGTGCGAAACTCCAAAATAAGGTTCATAAAGCGGATAAAACGGCAAAGGCGAGAGCTTCAAAAGACTTTCTGAAAGTGCCTCCGAATCAAAGATAATCGAGTTTTTAAAAGTTTTCCAAAACTTCGTGTACACTAATTTCGGATTTGTTTAAATTTCTAGTCTTAAAAATCGCGTGGGTGTTTTTTTTTAAGCCAAATGTAGCTTTGAATTGAACAACTTTTGTCCCAATACTGACAAATGTTCAGTCAAAATCGCTTTGTAATGGATTTACAAAGTATTTACAAGTATTTTTAGCAGAATTTGAAAGTTTTTGGAGCGTACAAGTGCCTGTGAATCTGAATGACAAAAATGCAAAAAGTAGTTTCATTTTCCCTCTGCAAAAACTTAAAGGGCCCATGTTACGATATTTTTTTTTATTTATGTTCTAATGTCGTTTTTTCATCGCAAACAGACCTGGAGTTGTGTTTTTTTGTTTCATTTTCACATATTTAACCCACAAATCCTGAATATTTAGGCTTGGTTCTTCTCTCAAACTGAAAAAAAAACCCACTGTTCCACCTTGTGATGTCATCATGTGGTGATACAAGAAGCGCTCCACGGTGTTTTTAAACTCCAAACACCTTCACTAGAATCGTTTTTGGGATTTTTTCAGCTCTATTCAAGTTTACCGAAAAACTAGGGGTGTAAAAAAAACAAAATATCGTGATATCGTATCGTCAGAAGTTCTCACAATAATATCATGGACCGTCACAATATATCGTATCTAGGAGTGTAACGATATCCAAGTCTCACGATACGATATCGTCACGGTATGAACCTCACGGCACGATATTTATTGCGATATAGCGTGGGAAAGTTCACGATTAGAGATGTAACGATATCCAAATCTCTGTGTACAATATTTTCACGATAAACATCTCACAGTACAATATTTATTGTGATATTTTGTGTACAAAACTGTGAATATGCGACTTTTTCCTCTTAAAATGCCTCGATAAGACTGAATCCAAAGAGTTAAAAGTGTTAGAACTGTTATTTCTTCTTGTCGTCTGCACTGAAATGGAGCAAAGGATCATGGTCTATGTAGTTCCTCTGTCTTTTTTTTTTTAGCTGTTGCTGCACATTAACTCTTCATTTAAACAAAGAGACTTGTAATTCGATATATTGTGATGGTCCACGATATTATTGTGAGAACTTTGACGATACGATATCACCATATTTCGGTTATTACACCCCTAATCGAATTACAAGTCTCTTTGCTTAAATGAAAAGTTCTGGTGCAACAATATCTAAAAAAAAAAAAAAGACAGAGGGAACTACATAGACCATGATCCTTTGCTCTATTTCAGTGCAGAGAAGAAATAACAGTTCTAACACTTTTAAGTCTTTGGATTAAGTCTTGTCAAGACATTTTAAGAGGAAAAATATTATCGCATATTAACAGTTTTGTTCACAGCCTCAAGAAAATATCGTAATAAATATCGTACCGTGAGATTTGGATATCGTTACATCTCTAATCGTCAGCCTCCCCACCATATCGTGAACTTGCCCACGATATCGCAATAAATATCGTACCGTGAGGTTCATACTGTGACGATATCGAATCGCGAGACTTGGATATTGAATCACGAGACTTGGATATCAAATTGCGGGAGATTGGATATCGCGAGACTCGGATACCGAATCGCGAGACTCGGATATCGAATCGCGAGACTCGGATACCGAATCGCGAGACTCGGATATCGAATCGCGAGACTCGGATATCGAATCGCGAGACTCGGATATCGAATCGCGAGACTCGGATATCGAATCGCGAGACTCGGATATCGAATCGCGAGACTCGGATATCGAATCGCGAGACTCTTCTCTCAAACACTCAAATGGATCGAGACTCTCGAATCGCGAGACTCGGATCGAATCGCGAGACTCGGATATCGAATCGAGACTCGATATCGAATCGCGAGACTCGGATATCGAATCGCGAGACTCGGATGTCGAATCGCGAGACTCTTCTCTCAAACACTCAAAAATGCCCTGGTATCGCGAGACTCGGATATCGAATCGCGAGACTCGGATATCGAATCGCGAGACTCGGATATCGAATCGCGAGACTCGGATATCGAATCGCGAGACTCGGATATCGAATCGCGAGACTCTTCTCTCAAACACTCAAAAATGCCCTGGTATCGCGAGACTCGGATGTCGAATCGCGAGACTCGGATATCGAATCGCGAGACTCGGATATCGAATCGCGAGACTCGGATACCGAATCGCGACACTCGGATACCAAAATCTCGAGACTCAGATATCGAATCGCAACACTTGGATATCGAATCGCAACACTTGGATATCGAATCGCGAGACTCGGATATCGAAATCGCGAGACTCGGATATCGTTACCCCTCTACGACAGATTTTGAGGACGACTTCCGGTGTAGTTCTCAGCAGTGGGCACACGTGGATCTAAACGGGCGTAAAAACGTTTGTTTTTTTTCGATGTTATTCTAGATCTTTGTGGACATGTGATAAAACCGTAGATTCAGCAGCAGCGTCTTCACAACCTGATCTCCGCTTCGATGTCACTTACAGACAGATTTTTTTATGAACTTAACAAATTATAAAACACAAATTAATAAAAGGAAAAAAACAAAGAATACAGCGACATCTAGATGAAGAAAACCACGACTATTTCTCAGTTCCTTTCGCCAACGGAGCCCAAAGGAACTCGTCCGTCATCCGCATGTTTCCAAACGACCTTCCGGTTTTTAGAGCCCATCGTCCAAACTCTACTGAACTTTTCATGACATCACAAGGTGGAACCAGAGCAGTTTGAGCTTTGCAGATGTAGACAGACTGATAATAAAGAGTTACTCAAACGTGTGAATGAAACAAAACACAACTCCAGGTCTGTTTTTGAGGATTTAACAACATTTTAACACGACTTAAAGCTCCAAAAAGTCAAATTTGTGTCATATATGACCTTTTAATTTGATCTTGACCTTGAATTCGAATGTTTTCCCAAAAGCGGTGAAACGTGAACCGCTTGTAGCACAAATCATTGTTTTTATTCTCCCTACTTTACGTCAAACCACGTTCAACTTTATAGTTTTGTGGTTCAAAATGTTTTGTCTTTTCATTTGCACAGGACACAGAACTGTACAATTTTCTACAATTCTACAATCAGACCTGCTTCATCCAACCAAAGATCGTAAAGCTGCACTGCGTAACTTTTCGGTTCTGGGTCTTTCACCTGCTTGTTGCTATGGATACGTCACAGCTCTGCCTGGAATGTTCCACAGTGCGACATTAAACAGCTCTACTTTACATTTATTCAATTATACGTGGATTTAGAGCTCAAAAATCCCTAGAAAAACCCGGATCTCTCCACAGATCTGACCTGTAACTTTGGTCTGGTTTGGTCTCCATGAAGATGGAAAAGCGGAGAAAAGTATTCGACGGACCCTCCACCAGAAAAGTTACGCCGTGCAGCTTTACGTTTGAGCTGCAGTAGAACAAATCGAGATTAAAAGTGGATTTAGTGCAATAACTGAACTGAAACACAAACATGTTTTAAGCAGCACCAGGGAAAAAGCTTCGACAGTTTTTCCAGGAACAATTCATACTTTTTGGAGCTTTGGAGCAGGTTAACGTTGTTCTCTCATCGAAAAAGAGGTTTGAGTCACCCGTGCATGTTTCAGTCATCTAGTGATCTCTTTTCAAACGCTCCTGTGCTGCCATTTCAATTTAAACTTTCAAAAACGTGATACAAAACAACGTTGTTATGTTTAAGTGCAATAACTGAACTGACACACTAACATTTTGTGAACAGGAAGTCAAAAGCTTCAACAGTTTTATTCCATGTGTCATTCGTTCATTTGTTTTTCAATATAAAACCAAAAATAAGAAAACGAAAAAAAAAAAAAAACTATTTTCTTCATAATTTGTCTCCAAAACCAAATGAAAACAGATAATGATTTGTTTTTTCAGTTTTCGATTTTGTGTTTAAATGAAAAATGGAAAAAAACGGATAACAACTGTTTCCAGTTTTCGTGACTTAAACTGTGATGCCGAACTGAACCAGGACTAAACCGTTTTCAGTCCTGGTCTCAGTCCTGATCTGGTCTCGGTCTGGTCCTGGTCTAAATCCTGGTCTCAATTCTGGTCTCAGTCGGGTCCTGGTCCCAGACTCAGTCCTTGGTCCCAGTCTGGTCCTGGACCTGGTTCAGCCCTGGTTTAGTCCTGGTTCAGTTCAGAAAGTCACGTCAACGGGAATCAACCGTTATCCATTTTTTTCCATTTTTCATTTAGACAAAACTGAAAAAACTAATTATTTTCTGTTTTTTGTTTTGGAGACAAATAATTAAGAAAATTGTTTGGTTTTTTTTTCATTTTCTTATTTTTGGTTTTATTTTGAAAAACGAATTAACAAATGACACATGGATTAGTTTTTCCAGGAACAATTAATTTTCTTTTTCCTGCGGTCAGTCCGAGCGTTCGTGGTCCTGTTTAGAAGTTTGATTTTCAACTGAAACGTAAGAGTGACCAACTATGGAAGATAATTTCATCAGATTTTGAATTTTAAATATCACTGAATTTCTCACTTTAATCGATTGATTTCGAGTTTGTGCCAAGAGAGAAACAATAATCATAAATATATTTACATTGTAAACAGAAAAGCACATTTCTTGAAAAGAAGTGGGAAAAAAAAGAAAAACTTTGAATTTTTTTACTTTAAAAAAACATGTTTGAATAATTGTATTGTGAATGGGAATTAATTATGTGTTTAAAATTCCATGTAAAAAACAAAAACAAAACACCTTTTAAATATTCAGTACAGATATTTTCGAGCTCAAATTCAACAGACAAAATTCAACTGCAAATTTTTCACTATGAATTTTGACTGTTGAATTTGAGAGCTCGAAAATATTTGTGGTGAATATTTAAAAGGTGTCATTTTTATTTGAATTTTAAACACTTTGAATTTCAGTTGCTGGAATTTTAAGTGCGCATTTTCAAACGTGTTTTTTCAGAGTTAAACATTTCAAAGCGAGAAATTCAACGGGATTTAAAATTCAAAATCTGACGGAACTAATTATTTTCCAAACTGAAGCTCGTGTAATTTTATGAGAGCGACGCGTTCAGCCGCACAAATCAGCTCAAACGTTGTAGTTCCAACAAAGTCAGATCTTTAAAGTCAGATTGTGCTAAAATAAAAGCTCAAAAGGTCACATTTTTTTGAGTAACAGAGCTTCAGACGGAGCAGTGCCTACAGTTAGCGTCACAACCCCCTGGGAATATTGATGAAATCAGCTGCAAATGATCAACACTTCCCAAACATTTATTATTATTATTATTATTAAGAAAAACAGAACTGTCCAAGCTTTTGACTCGACAGAATTGTGGGGTTTTTTTGGATTTCAAGGTGCTCATATTATGTTATTTTCTTCATCACAAACAGACCTGGAGTTGTTTTTTTTTTTTTTGTTTCATTCACATGTTTAACAGAAAACTTTGCGTATTTAGGGTTCCACCTCGTGACGTCATGCAGTGTCGATACAGACCCCGTCCACACTAGTTGGTATGTGAGTTGTTTTCATTCACACTAATCTGAAACGAAAACTACCATCTCATGACATCACAAGGTGGAACAGAGCGTTTTGAGCTTCAGAGACGTAGAATGAATAAAAATAATAGTAAAAATGTTTGTCAGAAATTGCGTGAATGAAACGAAACGCAACTCCACGTCTGTATAACACGACTTAAAGCTCACAAGAGTCAAGTTTACGTAACATAGGACATTTAAAATCTGTTGTATCTTAAATATTCATCTCAATTATTTAATTTTTCTTCTCTTTTATTCATTCTCCAAACGTGACAGGTCTTTAAAAGTCTGAACATGTAATCGTTTGTTACACGGGAGCAGTTTTCTCTGTATTTACAAGGTTTCTCATCGGGCTCGGGACTATTTTTTTTCTACGTGTTCTTGCGCTCGTTCATTTCAGCGGTGTGAAGCTCAGCGTGGCGGCGATGCAGTGCGTGT